TATATTTAAAATTTTATTATTTTAAGATATTTCTTATTTTTTTACTATTGACCTCATTTGCATTCATAAGATTAGGATATATAGTCAAAAATGTGGTTTTATAAAAAAATGGCACAGTTTGACTTAATATCTCATTAGTAATAATTTCTCTATTGATTTTAGTCTAGTTTGATTGTGTATCCCACAATCCTTCGATAATGTTATATCATTAAGCCTCTTGTATTTAGTTGTATACCCAAGTTTTTATACGTTTGTCACTAGACACCTCAATCAATCTAATTACTCTATTTTTTGTTTGCCATATATGCACATTTTGTAGATTTATTTTGATTGAGTATTTTTCCGATACCTTCTTTATTGTTGAGAATAAAACAGAATACTATTAATCTTTTTCTACAGTTAATAATTGCTTAAAATTATTTTAATTAAAAGAGAAATTTAAATCTTTTGAATGATACCCTTTATAAATAATATTAGAAGTTATTTGACTCAGTAGAATTATTTTCAGATCAAAATAATCATTTAAGTTGAAGTTATAGTGGATTATTAAACTAATAATATAACTTTAAAAATAAATTTAATTATTGTTTTTCTGATGATTTCAAAAAAATATATTTTTATTTCTTAGAAAAAAATTAACTATCTTTTAGATTTGACTAAATATAAAGAAATGAATATAAAAATTGTTTAGTCATCTTATTATTTATAAGGATTAATATTAGTAGAGAATAACAATTATGAAAAATTTAACAATATAATAAACTAAAATGAGAGGAAATATCAAGTAAATCATTAATCGTTAATATCTTAACTCTTGAACGTAAGAACTTAAGATTTATTAGATCTAATTTTATTTATTTCAACTTTTTAATTATTGTATTTGCTAAATAATATTTACGAATAATTAGATAATAATTTATAAGTAAATAACAAAATTAAACTTCCAAATAAGAACTGATTTAAACAAAACTTATTCTGAGATTGTAAAAAATGAAAGATTTAAATTTTTAGAATTTTAATTTATGCCTTGAATAAAATTTTAATAAATATTGATGATGATTTATTTCAATTTGATCAAAGCATTTTTTAATCTTCATCTATGTCTTCATCATTTATGTAGTTTGATTATACTGATTGATTCTCAATGATCACAGGATTATATTAATTATATATCATCAAAAATGAATCTACTATTTAAATTGCCTTTTAAATATATCATATTACTTGTTCAGTTTCTGTGTGAAACACTATAAATGTAGCTCTATATTTTTAGTCTTAATTTCTCCATGTGAATAATTAGTCAAATAATGCATCCGAATTTTCCCTCATTGTAACTTTGTATGAATAATCGTCCATCCACATTTAAGGCATTACTACATATTGTATATTCTTTTATGCTAGAATTGAAAATCTAAAAAGATTGAAAACCAATATTATACAATTCTTAGTATATTTTAATCAAATTTTCTTAATTAATCTATTTTAGTACAATAAAATTTACTCCTGTGTCTATTTTTAAATGAGCAATATAATTAGTATGTCGGAAGAGTCTCTTTCGAAGCTTCTGTACTTTCCAGACTCCTAGCTCTAGATCAAGGCTTTCTTCTACTCTTTCACTCATTTCGCTCAGTTCATCGCAATTCGATTCTTTTTCTTTTTCCTCTTATAATCTAATTATTTATTTAAGTATTACACTTATTTAATCATTTCATTTAATTAAGAGTTTTAAGGATCAATATCAATATTTACTAAGATCATAAATCTGATGTACTTATGCATTCTGTTTAAGCTAAAATTTAAGGTTCACTTTATAGAGCTTCAATTACCAATTCTTTGTAGGTTCGTTTTTCTTTTGGTATAACAGGCCTTTTTTCAAAGCATGAATCTAATTTTTAAAGATAATATTACTTCCCATGCTATATTGATAATTATTAAATATATATAAAATAATCAAAATAAATTAAAGAATCAAATTAATTAGTTTAGACGTAAGATTTCATTTACAAATTTCTTTTCTATAACAAATTTAAAGATTATTCATTAGAATATAGGTTATTTTTCTTTTGTTGCCTTTAAATCTTCTTTAAAAATCTTCATAACAAAATATCCTCAAATCTCGATAAAAATAAACAAAATAGCCATCAAGGGAATATGGTCTTGCAAGATATCCACTTAATTGTTGATCAAGAAAAATTGAAAAAAATTGCTTTTCTTTCTTTGTTCAAAATTTAAGTCTAATATTATTGAATTTTTTCAGAAAAAACTTATCCAATTTTAAAAATTAAAAATTGATTACTTTTTCATACAGAAGTTACACAAAACCTTAAATTCTATTAGAATTTAAAAACATTTTCATTAAATTTGATGAATAATTTTAAAGCAACTCTATGAATTCATTATCTTTTTAATCAATGCTCAATTAATTAAAAAAATATTTTTTTAAAACTCTTGTTTAGATTGTTAATAAAAAATTTGATTAAATTTACNTTTTAGTCTTAATTTCTCCATGTGAATAATTAGTCAAATAATGCATCCGAATTTTCCCTCATTGTAACTTTGTATGAATAATCGTCCATCCACATTTAAGGCATTACTACATATTGTATATTCTTTTATGCTAGAATTGAAAATCTAAAAAGATTGAAAACCAATATTATACAATTCTTAGTATATTTTAATCAAATTTTCTTAATTAATCTATTTTAGTACAATAAAATTTACTCCTGTGTCTATTTTTAAATGAGCAATATAATTAGTATGTCGGAAGAGTCTCTTTCGAAGCTTCTGTACTTTCCAGACTCCTAGCTCTAGATCAAGGCTTTCTTCTACTCTTTCACTCATTTCGCTCAGTTCATCGCAATTCGATTCTTTTTCTTTTTCCTCTTATAATCTAATTATTTATTTAAGTATTACACTTATTTAATCATTTCATTTAATTAAGAGTTTTAAGGATCAATATCAATATTTACTAAGATCATAAATCTGATGTACTTATGCATTCTGTTTAAGCTAAAATTTAAGGTTCACTTTATAGAGCTTCAATTACCAATTCTTTGTAGGTTCGTTTTTCTTTTGGTATAACAGGCCTTTTTTCAAAGCATGAATCTAATTTTTAAAGATAATATTACTTCCCATGCTATATTGATAATTATTAAATATATATAAAATAATCAAAATAAATTAAAGAATCAAATTAATTAGTTTAGACGTAAGATTTCATTTACAAATTTCTTTTCTATAACAAATTTAAAGATTATTCATTAGAATATAGGTTATTTTTCTTTTGTTGCCTTTAAATCTTCTTTAAAAATCTTCATAACAAAATATCCTCAAATCTCGATAAAAATAAACAAAATAGCCATCAAGGGAATATGGTCTTGCAAGATATCCACTTAATTGTTGATCAAGAAAAATTGAAAAAAATTGCTTTTCTTTCTTTGTTCAAAATTTAAGTCTAATATTATTGAATTTTTTCAGAAAAAACTTATCCAATTTTAAAAATTAAAAATTGATTACTTTTTCATACAGAAGTTACACAAAACCTTAAATTCTATTAGAATTTAAAAACATTTTCATTAAATTTGATGAATAATTTTAAAGCAACTCTATGAATTCATTATCTTTTTAATCAATGCTCAATTAATTAAAAAAATATTTTTTTAAAACTCTTGTTTAGATTGTTAATAAAAAATTTGATTAAATTTACTAGTAGGTATGATGCTAATGAGATAATAAAAAATTTTTAATGAGCAAAATAAATTTTGGTATATTGGTTAGCTGCTGGGGTAACAAATATTTTTTTTAGTTCATATGAATCAATAATAATAAATATCAATGTTCTTAAGATTAATTCAGCAAATTTTATCATCTCAACTGAAATCAATAAATTTGTTATATTGATTAGACTGATAACCAAGTCTCAAAGTATTTAAAGGCTTTATGATCTAATGAATAACTTTTAAATTATTTTTTAATGGTCTTTATATTTAATCAAAATATTGGATTAAATCCATATATAGTAAACCTATCTAGTTCATTAGATTCTTATTCTTTAAATTAAAAGCCTTCATTTATAATACTTACAATGTTCTTAATGGGTTTATCACTAATAATAAATTGTTTGATTTTTTTTACGTTGCTTGATTATTACTCAAATTTATTAATTTTTGATAAAATTTAGATTAATAATTTAGAAAATGACTTTGAATCTTTATAAACCTTATGAGAAAAAAATTAGAAAAATCATTAAATATTAATATAGACAACTGATCATTTTGTAAAATTATTATTATAAATTATTTGAATGAATTCTAAGTATTACCAATATTCTATTACTTTTTTACAATCAAATTAATTACTGATTATTTTATTGATGATAATAATACTATTTTTATTATAATAATGTAAAATTTATAACCTTAAGATCAACATTCAGCTTAGAGGAATAAATCATATTCGAATAAGGATCCAAATATGGCATTTGTAATTTATTTAATAACCTATAAAGTTAACTCAATAAATATTGGAACAATAACGAACTGGACAAATTTCTTAGGATGATAATTAATTGTTCTCTTATTTCTACTCTAAACATCCTTTTATTATTAGCCTAAATTAAATGGCAGAAATTAATTTAATATCTGAATACATCAACTATGTTTAATATATGGAAATAGATTAAAATACAGAGGTGATATAAAATGGACAATAGGGAGAACTATTTTATGGTTTAATATAGGGAAAAACTAACATAAATGAATTGTGTTTTGGAATTGAAGCTTTAAATTAAGATCCCTACGTTTAAGATGTCAAAACAATGGAAAAATCAAAATTTTTAACAATCACTAGATGCAATTTTTAAGAGGCTGTTTAGAAAGCCAAATTCAAGGAAAGGAATAGTCTTATTGAATTTATGAAGGAATCTTAAATATTTTATAGGATGTCCAAGAGAACAATTGCATCATTTATAAATTTTTTCACTTTGGTTTATTTCAGAAAAAATCAGATAATTTACAAAGAAGGAGAGCAAGCAGATTATGTTTATATCATAAGAGTAATAATATTAAATATTTAAGGAAGGAGAATTTGAATTAAGTAAAAAATTTGATATTTAAAACAAACACAAAACTTTTCCAATATCAACAATAGGGAAACCAGAGCTTTTTGGAGATTTGGATTGTCTATTGAATACATGTAGATAATATACAGCAAAATGTAAAGAACAGGCATATTGTTATAGAATTTCAAATTCAGTAAGAATATGAAAATAAAAGTAGAATTTTTATTCGATAATTTAAAAGAATCCTCATTGTGGAATAGAGAATTACATAAATAGTGTAATGAGAACTTAAATATTAAGTAGATAATAGCGATTGTAGACTACTTCATCAGTTTTATCAGGAAACAGAAATCTGTTATTTGGAGTTGAAGAAATAAAAATGTCGAATAAGTAACAAGAGAAAAAGTAACTATTTAATTTTTCTCCTGGTAAAATTACTCAAAGATACACTCCAGTTTATAATAATTCTAACAGAAAAAAAATGAGAGTACGTTGTGCTACTTTGTATAATGAAGGAACAGTGGTCAGATGTTAACAGAAACAGCCAGGATCAAGTGATCGTTAAGAACAATTATTAAAGCTTAAAGGACAATTATTTGATGAAGTAGAAATACCAGATCGGATTAAAAGAAAGTATCAATAATAGTTAAAAAATCTCAAAGATTAGACTCTAAGAAGGTAACTATTAATAATAAGAACATAAAATAATTAATCAAGGATAATAGCATAAAGCATGATTTCATGAGTGTTATTTGGTAATCATATACAACTCTTCAATTTTATTAATATAATGATTGTGTTTATTTTGGATATCTTAACTTTGCTTATTGTATTTACTAATATTGTCTAATGAAGTATCCCCATAAAGTCTATTACAAGTGAAATATTACATTTTTTAAGTTTGTACTTGAGATTTCGATAATATGAAAAAGTTGCCTGTTTTTTCTTAAGTCTTCTAATTGATTTATGGCAATTTTAAATAATAAGAATCTCTCTCTGGTGATTATTATTTTGTTTATTTCTTAAATTTACCAGATTACAACGCCCCATTGTTCAATCTCTAAATTTATAAATTAAGACATTACTAGAAGTTCTTAAGATTTTGATATTTCAGGTAGCTAAATTAATCCTTTGTTTTAATGAATGGAGAGTTTTCTTTCAGAAAGGCAAATCATTAATAATTAATTAATTATAATAATTCAAAACCATAAAATTTGTTAAATTAGAGAGACTTTTTAATTTGAATGCAATTAATTAATTAATTTTCACTTGATTAATAATATATCAAGAGCAAACTGTACCTGACCATGATTTTCCTTGTAATCTACATTAAACCTTATTTTTATCAGCTACAGCTCCTTATCCTGTAGAAATAAAATAATTAACTCCTGTATTCGGGGGAGTTGTTGTAATACTAGTGGAGACACAATATTTAGCTCCCAAATTACAAGTAAAGGTGACTCCAGATTCTTAAGTAATTGATGCTTCTAATGCATCCCCTATAGGAAATTTAAATAGTTTAAGATTGGCAGCAACAACAGTCAAAGAAGTGTCAGTCCATGACCAAGTAATAGTTAATGGTTTGAATAAAGGATCAAAATTATTTTCAGTTGCACTATATGCAGGTGAAGCTGCAATTGTTGGTCTTAAACAAATGACATCTGAATAGGCATTTCTTATTCCAAAGATTTCTGGAGGGAATGAATATACCATTAAAAATCCATTTGAAGCATAATTATACCCGGACCAATCTATTTTGGTGGAATGTTATTGTCCATTCATTGTTAGTGAATTTCTTGAATATGGGATAATAGCAAAATTGATAAAATAGTAGTTAGTTTAATAGTAATTAGGCTAAAACTTTATCATTCTAAATAACCCAATCAGAGCAACTGACCATATTTTTTTTAATACGATATCTCTCATTGTACTTTAATTAGAGGTTTACAAAACAACGAAATCCTAATATGATTTGCTTAAATACTCTCAACAATTATAACGATTAATAAACAGTTCTTTCTATATAAAAAGGATGCGAATCTGGTTAATCTTATAATGCAGTTGCTAATGCTACATATCTATCTAAAATATTTCCTAATTATGTTTAGAAATCTGCTACTGCTGGCAAACTCGTAGTAAAGGAAGGCATGATTTTCCAAGGATTTACAGTATACAATTGAAATATAGTTGCTGAAGTTTGTGTTGTTAGAGCAGTCAATAAAGTTGTTCCATCACTAGCTTTATCAAAATATCCATCACTAGTCTTGGTAAATCTTACTAAAGCATAATTGAGTTTCCCTTCTGATTTATCACAACAAACATTATCATATTATAAACTAAAAGTTTCTAAAGAGTCACATAAAGTAGATGCACCTCCTACTGGTAATCCAGAACCTGTTCTACAGGAAGCTACTTCATCTATCATATAACAAGGAAGTGTTAGACAGGAGCCACTATGAAAATTTTATTATAAATTACGATTCCCAATAACAATATCCAATTCCTGAAGTTACGCTTGAAGTACAAACACCACTGGCTAATCCTGTACATGCAGTTTATCCAACATAAGGTTAAGCAGCAGATGATGTAATCAAATTTACTATTAATAAAATGGGCAACATAAATATTATCAAAATATTAAATGAAATTTTATATGATTTTTATATATTTGATTTTCATCAGCATTTTGCTAGTCTGAAATACGGCTTATCTGTTGATGAAATATCAGTGTTGCAGGCCTTAATAGGATTATGATGAAATATTATTAATTCATCAAGAGCAGCAGGGGTAGCTGGAATTGCAAAACTAGGGCAATATGTGGTTCCTGTAATTGGATATTAACAGCCAGTAACAGCAGTTCCAGCTCCTGGTGAGTATGCTGCTACAAATTCCTTATCAAATATTTAATAAAAAGTTGTTGAATATAAGGTAGTATCAATCCATGTATATTTAATTGAGATAGGAACCTCAGTTATTGTTTAGGCTGTACCATCAATTTTCACTGTTTTGATCCATATTAAATCAGATAATTATCCTACGCTAATAATTCCGAATTACTCTGGAGCTAATGTCATTACATATATGTATCCATTATTAGCATAACTTGTCCATGTAATTTCTATTTCATAAGTTTTAGTTGTTAAAACAATTTTCTATCTATTTAAATTTGAGAACCCAAAATTTATAAAATCATAATTTTGAACATAATATGCTTTATAACTTTCATACCTTTTAAATAGAATGTTAACTAAATCCCAGGCTTTAATTAGTTAATCAGATCTAGTCGTTAGTGTATATGTTACATCATCCTAAAATTAATTAAATATATATATTTACTCTAATGCTCTAAAAAGTCTCAATTACAGCCTTTTCCAAGAATTTTGGTTGAACAGCATCTGTAATCAATTAGTTGATTCCATGATTGAATGCATCTAAAATAGTAGACAATTATGTAGGAGATGCTAGAAGAATATCTAAAGTAAATAATTGATAGGTGTATTTTTATGGTGTAGTAGTTGTTGTTAATATAGTAACAGGTGTTTCAGATAACGTGATATCTGGAGATCTAGTTATGTTGGCTTATCTTCTAAATCTTAAGAGTCCGTTTGGAACTTTTGTTTCTCCTGATTTAACACAAACATTTTCATATTTATAATCTATGTTTATTGGTACACAACCAGTAATATACCCCACTGTTGCCGCTATGCAAGCCTATACTTCACTAATTCTATAACAATCTGTAATAGCTGCACATGTGACAGTAGTATAAGCAGTCACTTCACAATTTCCTTTCATCATACATAATGTTGCATTAGTTTCTCCAGTACAAGTTTGTAAAGTGAATGCTGCTTTAATTATTTCTACAAAGGACAAGCTTAATATAATGAATTGCATCATCTAATTATTTATATAAATTATATTTAATAATAAGTATTTATCAATAAATATTGCAACTTTAAGTTGACCATGAACAATATCCAGGCCTAAATTTACATGCTAAATAATAGCTATAAGAACCAGTCTATTAAAGATTTATTTCCAACTATGAATGCTTTTCTATTAAGCAATTATTATGATACATAACAATAAAAAGCTTAACATTTGGATATATATATTATTTGTCAATATAGTCATCTAAACAAAGTCTATCAAAAAAAATATTTTTAACTCAGATCAGAATTTTTTTAAATCCATTTAATAGAAACATAGACATTCTAATCATAATCATCCAAATATCCTAATCATAATAAGATCAGAATCTGTTATAAAACCCAAATTATTCATTCAGCATAACTAATACCTCAATATATTCTGGTTTTTAATTTATCCAGATGATTTCAAAAATTCCAAACTATGTTCCAAATTATAGTTTTTGTAGTTTTAAATTAGCAAATCCAAAATTTATCAAATATTTGTATGATATATACTCAGTGATTGTTAAGATCTTAATTCTAAGTATAATGCATCAGACATTCCCCATAAAACCCAGTAAAAATCAACTTTTTTTATTGTACCTGAAGTAAATGTGATTGTTTCATCGTCTCTTATTTATTGCAAACTTTCATAAATAGCTTTCTCTAAAAAGTGGATTCTTGAATATTGTCAGAAGGATATACACAATAATATTTTCTACATAAAATCAATACATATATTTCTAAATCCTGAATCTATATTTCGATTTATCTTACATAATTTATTTTAATATAAAAAACCTTACAATTTTTCTGAGCAAACTCTAAATCAGTAACTTTATGATACTAAGCAGGTTAACAATTTGTACCATTCAAATAACAATAACCTGAATTCTAACATGTAACGTCTGTGTAATAACTGCATTATACTTAATACCAATTTATATTATTCCCTAGTACAAGAACAAATGTTAAGATTATTTTCATTCAAATTAGAAAATCATTTTATAAAATAATGTATGCTATGAATGTATTATTAATTAATCATAAAATCATTTACGTATATTCGACATTATTTTACTTCTTTAAAAAATCATAAACATTATATTTATTATCTATTATACTGCCAGAAAAATTGACTAATATGTATGATATTTTAATTATAACACTATTTTATGCATTGTTATAATTATCTATAAATAAGAATTAATAACTAAAATATCTTAAAAAGACAATTTCTTACTAATAGTCATTTTTTTACATTTATAAATTCCTTTGCAAAAGTCCATGAATTGAATCGATTATACTATTAATTTACAATTTGAAATATTTTATTATGATATAGAATCAGAATGTAAAAGGAAAAAATTTTAAAATGAAATTTGATAAATTTAGGTATTAGTTCTAAAATTCAAAAAGAAATAGAAGATATAAAATAGAAATGATTTTACTTATTTTTAAATACATAGTAGACATATTTTAAATAAATCTAAGAACTTTAAGAAATAAAGAATATACCTAATTTAATTTAAATTAAAGACTTGAAAATATAAAAATAAGGTTTATAGATAGGTTTTGGGGAATTAAAAAAGAGTATGGGTTCTGAATAGTATATATAATTAAATAATAAATAATTAATAATATTTTTATTCATGAAAATTTACAGCAAATTTTGTACTATATTAAAATCGACAGCTAGTTTTAATGAGAGACATTTTGTTGATAAAATGAAAATAAAAGTGAAAGCTGGGGATGGTGGTAAAGGATGTGTGTGCTATTATAGGTGAGTTCTAAATATATGAAATAGAGATCGTATTGTAGTAACAGGAGCACCAGATGGAGGAGATGGAGGAAAAGGAGGTGATATTTATTTAAAGGCATCAGAATAGATATATGATTTAAGTATTTTAAGAAAGCCACATATTATTGGGAATAATGGAAAGTAAGGAATGAAATTGAAATGTAATGGGAAAACAGGTTCTGATATTAAAGTTAGTGTTCCTATGGGTACCTTAGTTTTTGAGATAAAGTCTGATGATACAAAAGAATTGATTGGAGATCTTGATGAAAATAATAAAGAATGTTTGGTAGCTAAAGGTGGTAGTGGAGGAAAAGGAAATGCAAGAAATATAGGAATTAGAGAAGTATAATTAGGATAATAAGGATAAGAAAAGGATATATTTTTAGAAGTGAAAACTTTGGCAGATATAGGATTAGTAGGATTTCCAAATGCAGGAAAATCAACTTTGTTAGCTGCTGCATCTAGAGCTTTACCTAAAATAGCAGATTATCCATTTACAACATTAAATCCTATGGTTGGTAAGGTCAGGTTTGTTGATAATATGGAAATGACTATAGCAGATATTCCAGGATTAATTGAAGATGCTCATAATGATAAAGGATTAGGGCATGAATTTTTAAGACACATTGAAAGATGCAGAGTAATCTATTATATCATATTATTAGTTATTGTTATATGTTTTAGATGGGTAGGCAGGAAATGTTGAAGAATAACTATAAATATTAAAGAATGAAATTAAAGAGTATAATCAGGAAATTTTGTAAAAACCTTATATTGTATGTATCAATAAGGCTGATTTAATAAAAGAAGATTATGATTATATAATGATTAGTGCTAAACATTGTCAAAATGTTGGCTAATTACTCTTGAAATGTAAAGATTAAATCGAAAAGATTCGAAATGAAATTCAAATTAAAAAATAAAATGAAAAACTAAATGAAAAGAACTATCAAATCAAAAGACAATAACTTGAAAAATAATTATTTGGATCAACAGAGAAGTCTAATTGAAATGAATGATTTTTATTTCTTTATAAAAAATTTAAATATTTCTTTATTCATTAAAAAATTTATTAAACAATTTTTTTTTTGAAAATCCTCGCAAATTGCCTAACACTTTCTATCAGCCCTTAATGTGTAATAAAATAGAAATCTTTACTACTTATAAAGGTGCATCATTAAATAGTCAATCAATTTATAAAAGCATAAATATATCTATAATGCTTCAGAATTAGTCTGTTTTGTTAAGATTTTTTCCAACATAATTAATTAGTTAAATTATTATGAATACTACCCTTTTATTATGCTTCATCATAGCTTATGAAGACTAATTTTTGATTAAAAAGTATCTTTTGTTGGTTTTCAGAGAAACAAAGAACAATTTTGTTTAATTTAAACAAACATAAATTCACATTCCTTCAAGCATTTCATTAATTTGAATTAATTTAAATCTATAATGCTTTGTCTTAAATATTCTTTTCCACTTCTAGTTCTTCAATTAATTTTTATTATTTTTCTCATTAAATAAATATCAATCTGATTTAAGTAGTTTTTTTCGAATAAAAGATTATATAAAGCATCTTTTTATCTGATTAGAAAATAAAAGATATCCAATAATATTATGTAAAAATATGAATCAAATTTTGAGAATTAATTCTAAAATCCCCTAATATTTCAAATTAATTATATAAATACTCAAAATATAATAAAATCTTAAATCTAAATATATATATATTGTATAAGTGGAAATGATAAAATTAATAAGTATCTTTAAAAATATTTTCTTATTACAAAATATTTTAAAAAGCAAATATAATTCATACTAATTCATGATGCAAATCCATTTGATTTAATGAGAATAGTGATATTATTAAATAAAATAAGTTTTTGTATTTGTAAAATAAATTATTAATTAATATATCAAAAAAAAGATAACCGATGAATGTTTAGTAAGTAGTGTGATAAATTTATTTAGTGATTGTATAGCCTTTACAGGAGAGAAATGGGAGTTGCTAGAGTAAGACACGATTGGCTTTTTAGCAGGAAGTAATTAAATAAATTAAATGGTTTAGATACATTATGTAAATGGAATCTAGAAAACAATAGCAAAAGCTTTGTACATTCTTAGAGATAAGGATTTTAATGCTTTACAGTCCATTATAGGAAAAATATATTGGTTGTGGCAGAATATGGGTTAAATCCAATTGTTCATGTTTATGATAATGAAAATGAATATGATTTGGTTGGAGTGAGCCCATTGGAGATACTTTAAATGGAAGTGTCAAATTGTGGACGTTATTTATTAGTGATATTGGGAGTGCCAAAATTTGAAATTTGTTTATGGGATTTAAGAGAGAAATGTAGAGTTAAAGGAAAGTTTAGTTAATTACCCTTAAAACTTAATTTTATAGAGGCCAAATTCACAATCTTGAATGAGAGAATTCTAATTCGATATGCAAATGAATTGTAATTATATTAAATAACACCTCATTATGATAATTAAATCTAGAAGCAGGTTTAATTGGAATTAATAGCATCAATAGAATTATCAGCTCCAACAATAATGGTTCAAGATTACAATTTAATAGATGATTCAAAAACTCAATTTGAATAAAATAACATATATTTAATTTAAGGAAATTTACTAATATATTTGGATGGAACAAATTTAAGTGAGATTGTAAGACATGAATGTCATTCAGAGATAAGACATTTGATTCCTACTTAAGTACATTTGATAGTTGTATATGCCCATTCTAAAATTGAATGGTTATACAAATATGTAACAAACAATTTGGAAGATAAAGTTGCTGTACCATTTAAAGTGAATAAGAAATATAATTTTCATGATCGTTTAGAGGTAAAAAGAATAATGTATAATCAATAATGCACAAAATTGATTTGTTCATAAGACAATGCTACTCTATTTATAATTCCAGTACCTGCAGAAGGTTAATTGGGAGAAGATGAACCTTAATAGGATTAGTAAGAAGAAGAAAAGATAATAGATTTAACTCATGAAATAGAACCAGTTAAGTTAGGTCCATTTTAGAAAGGAGTAATTACATTTATTAGAGAATATAAATAACATAATGTAATTGTATGTGGATCAGATTAAGGAGTAGTTTTATTTATGGATTTAATAACAAGTAATTATTAAATATATGTTGATAGAATTACCATTGAGTAGTTTTAATATTGAAGGTAAAATAACATCAGGAGAATTGATAGAGCCAAATTTAATAATAGGAACATCAGGAGGAGTATTAAGATTTTATAATGTTGCTGATATTCGATAGCCAGTTTTATTTAAGATGATAAAACTTTATATAGATAGAGCTATAACTGGTATAAGTATTAGTGAAAGTTTTTTAACTGTTTGTAGCAGTGATTCTCCGACTGTATTTTTTTTTTAGAATGAAAATTTGATTGGATTTGTAGATTTACCATTTAATTGTTAAGCTATTGCTTATGGAAAAGGTTAATTATTTTGTATATGTTCATTTTTATTATTGAGTATACCTTAGCCAAAATAAACATAATCATTGAAATTAGAAGTATAAATAATGGGAAGGAAGATAGATCCAGATTAGACTTTATTAATAATAACACCTTAATAAGAAGTAATTACAACAGGAAAAGATAAAATATTTAAGAAGTATAAATTTCCTGAAGAGTTATTATCTAAAATGGATTTGAAAATGAGAGTAGCAAATTAACCTCCAGTTGATGAATAAGATGGTCATTAATTGCCAGCAACATGTTTAGCAATAAAAGACTTTTTATATTCATCAGCAAAGGATGGTACAATAATGTTTAGAAGTTATTAATAATTAAATTAAGATGTAAGATTATTAAGAGGACATAATTTAAAATCAGGAGGGGTTTCAACAATATTTGTATCATAAAAATATAGAATGATATATTCTGGTGGATTTGAAGGAGATATATTTTGGTGGACTGGAGAGAAAATTAGAGGAGATTCAGATGCAGCATAATTAATGAAAAGTAATTATAATGCTCCAATGGAAATTTAAGATATGCCAGATTAAGAAGTTAAATATTATTAATAAGTTTTGGAAAGTGAATTTTTTGAATAATAAGCTCCTATTAGAGAATAATAAAAAAGATAAACTAAAGATTTATTAAAATAAATTTAATCCAAATTAAATGCACTTTTATAAGAAAATGCAGAAGCTGATGAATTAGAAAGATTATCAAGGGATGAATTTGTTATTGACCTTTATGCTAGAGATGCTATACTTGAAGATGGAAAGAAATAATAATAAGCATTAAGAGATTTAGTCAAAAAAGAAAATGTTAAATAAGAGATACTTTATTAATTGATTAAAGAAAGAACTTGGGATTAAATGGAAATTCCATTGAAAGGAGTTAATGGATTAATTTAACATATTATTGTGACTAATTATCATATTAGAATAAGATAACCAGAGGAAATGAGAAAGTTAAAACTAATTAAGGAATTAAGAAAACAAGAGCTGAGAGAATTTAAAATTAGAAAATAATCAGTAATCAAAGAAGTATGGACAATAGAAGAACATATATAAGATCCTAAATATATTATAAATGCTAAACCTGGAATTCAAACTATGGTTTTAAATGATTATGAAAAAAAAGAAGAAGTAGCTCCTACAAAAGTTGCTGCTAAACCTGGTGTTGGAGGTGTATAATAGAAATAACCTCCTGGAAGACCATAACCAGGAGCTGCTAGTATGAAAGCAAGATAATAATAATAATAATAATAGTAATAATAGGAAGAAGAGAAGAGATTAGAGGAAGAAAAATAAAAAGAATTAGAAAAATAATAATAATAATAAAAAGTTTCAGAAGAGAAAAAAGAAGGAAGTGAAGAATTAACAGAATGGGATTATTTGTATGGTGTAAGTGAATTATTTACTTTAAATAGAAAGAGAAATTAAATGATATTAATTAATGATGTAATATTTTCAATGAAAAGATAATTTAATGCAGAATTTGAATTAATTTAAAAATAAAGATAATAATAACTAGATAATATTAATGAAAGAAATAAAAGAATTATTGAAATAAATGGAGAATTGAAAAGAGATCCATAATTATAATAAATGAAAAAGAATATTTTAGAAGATCCTGAAAAAATATTAACAGTAAAACCAGAAGAGATAGGATTTACTTAATATGAAACAAGAGAAATGAGAGAAAAGAAGGAATAAGAAAGATTAAAAGAAGAAGCACGTTTAAGAGCATTAATGGCAGATGATTCAGGTGTTAGAGCTGTTAAAGATATGATGGGAGGAACATTAGAAGAAAAAAAAGAAACACCTTTAGATGAAAAATTAGAAGTTGAAGAATGGATGAAAAAGAGTCCAGATGATATGACAGAAGAAGAAAGAATGAAATTAAAAGAATTTGAAGTTAGAAAATAAAAATTAGAAGAAGAAAAAGAAAAAATTCGTAAGAATTTAGAAGCAGAACTAAAAAAATTAAATAATGAAATTACAGATATATGTTCTAGATTTGATGAAAAATTATTAATACTTTTTAGAAGAAAACTTGAATATGATTATAGAATTCTTGAGTAAGAATTATCTATTGTAAGATTAGCATTATCAATTATCATTTCATAATAAGCTTAATTAAGAGTATCAGAATTAGAAAAATTACATGATGAAATGACTACATAATTAAATTAATTATAATAAATGAAAACTAATCTTGATTCCACTAGAGATTTAACTTAATAATAAAGAAAAACTTTAAATGATTAAATTGCCAATTATTTTAATAGAGGATAAACTGCTGGTATGGATGCAAATAAAGTTAAAATATTATGGTAATATGCCTTTGAAGATCAAAAAACTAATGAAAGAGCTAAACAAGAATCTGATGAAAAATTACTCAAAATTTAAAAATATAAGGATGTTCTTATTTAAATTGATCCATTATTTGAAAATCAAAAAAAAATCATATCTGCTTAATTAGATGAATAATTTGAATCTTATTTATTTGATATCTAAGAAAAAGCTAGTAATTTATAAGGTATAGATTTTGAGCATGTTCGTGATCAATTATTATAAGTTTTAGGTTAGAGATTTAAAATGAAATTAGAATATGAAAAAATAGACAAAGATTTTAATGATATTGAAAATTTTAATAAGAAATTTGAATAAGAATTTAATACATTATCCTCATAACTTTAAAGTGGTGAAGAAGATATTTAAAGTCTTCATAATATGTTAGAAAAAAGTAAATCTAATATAGAAGTCATGTTCAGATTTAAATAAGGATTTGTTGAAATTAGTCAAGATAAACCAGTTCCAAATTTATAAGATGCTGCACTTATTCCAAGAGATACAATTGAAAAAAAAAATGATGAAATTAAAAAAGAAGGAGATGCCAAAATTGAATTAATGAAAGATATCATTAAAAGTAAATATTAAGTTGAAAAAAATGAATATGATTTAAAAAAAAGAGATCTTATTATTTAAGATTTAGAATGTAAAACTAGAGAAGTCTAATTATTAAAAGTTAAAAAAGAAATGTAAATTGCATTAACTAAAGATGATACGAGATTAAATGAAAGAGAATTAGCTAATCTTAAAGATTAAATTGATCTTTTAAAAAGTGCCACAGATAAGAGATTATAAATTATTAATAAAAAAAGAGAAAAAATAGAAAAAGATATTGATTTCATTAAAAAAGAAAATCAATAATTGATTGCTCAAGGAGGAGTTCTATCTGTATTTATTAATATTAATATAATCTTAGGGAAATGTTAAATAATTATAAGATATCTCTGATATGTAGAATAAAAAGAATGTTAGATAAGGAGAAGAATAATAAGAACCTTAAGAAGATAAATTTACGTAAATATATATATTATAATTCTAGATAAATTGCTCGTAATTACAGATTATTTAAAAAAGCCAAGGAATAAGCTGAAGAAATTGAAATTTTAAGAGATGAACTTACAAAACTTAAAGCCAAGACATTTGCTAATTTCTAATAAGTCAATCGTTGATCAAATCAAATTTATAAATAATTTATTAAAATTTATATTAAAACCAATATATAAAAAGTAAGACATCCAATTTCTAATTATACTATTATATACAATTCAAAAATACACCTGAGTTACTTTATTCTCCTTTTTCTATTGAACTGGAATAAAATTAATAAGTCTTTTGATATTTCTTATTGATTCTTGGTATTTTTAATATTATCTCATCAACTCATATAATTTTTAAGTCTCTTTTTTTGGCATTGTTAATTTATTATTTTCAATAAGGATCGATATCCAAGAAGTTATCTATCAGCATTTTTTTAAATAAATACATTTTCAATTTTAGAAGGATCATCATAAATTGCCTATTAAAATACAGATATTAATTAATTAACAATTATTGTTAAATTCTCACTACTATAAATTAAGTTGTTTGATTTACATGTCTTACAACTTTAAAAATAAATAAATTTTATTACATTGATGAATAAAATAATTGCTTGTATAAATTTTTAAAATCAACATTGTTTTAATTTTCCCATTAAACTAAGATTCCTAAGATTTTTTACAAACAATCATCTGATAAGTTTAAGTTCAATAATTCGCTCAATGTATTTTAACTTGACAAAGTAACCTAATTTGGAAACAACTCAAGTATTTATTATGGTGTTATCTCAGTGATATCGATTGATTCGACTTTATCTGATTAAAGCTTCTCTTTTAATGCATTTTTGCTTTTGAATGTCTTTGGCTTTATTATTATTTCTTCAAATTATAAGTTCTAGATAATCATTTAACACAAATATAATATAATTAATATTTAATTAAGAAAACATGAAATGACTATTGATTAAAACAAAAAAATAATTAAGGTTTAGAAATAAGAATTTAGACCAATTTATATTTAATATCTTTATTCTTATTATTATTAAAATATCTTCTAATTGAAATTACTTTATGTTCCTCGAAAATAATGATTTGAAAGTAATTCATCTAATATTATTAATTAATTTTTATTTTAATTAAAAAAATGATATTTTTAATACTCTGAATTTGAATGAATAATGAAATTAAAGTATTTCTATTATAGTAACTAAACTTGATTGATACTCATTTCATTTCGAAGAATTTTTAAATTATCAAAATTATTCTTTTATTTATTTGTGTTTCAAAATTTCCCTCGACGCTGTAGGAGTTTAAAAAGGAATTTAAGTGGTGATCACAAATTTAATAATAATAATATTGGTATATGAATTATTATTTTATTTAAATCTATAATAATTTTTAATGTACTTAAAACTCATCTAATAATTATTGACAAATTATATTTCAGCTATTAGCAATAAGTTGAATTAAATAATTAAAATATTTTAGATACCCTATATATAAATTTCTTGAATAAGATATTTTGATTGAAGTAATTAATTGAAATATTTATATAATAAAGCTCCCAAATAAGATTAATCTTTTATTTCTATCTAAATTTGGAATAATGAATTTGATTTAATTTAGTAATTTTGTTATTTATGTATTTTTTTAATTTCAATTATGATTAAATATATTCTTGAAAAGTGTAAATGAAATGAAGAAAAGAATTTATATTAGATTGATTATTCGTTTTTCTTTATTTGTGAACAGCAAGACTGTTATGTTTTTATAAATTTAAATAGTACTCAAGTAAATTACAAAAAAATTTAAAATTTAGTTGAATCTGGATATTGATACATAAGATCAAACAGATGTTAGAAAGAGCAACTAATTCCATAATAGTATATTTTATAGAATTATTTTAAATATAAAGAATTTATAAATAAAATATGTTTCAATTATAAGGGGACAGCGAAATAATTATTTAGGGTGAAATTCCTGATCTTAAAAACTTACCAGAAAAAAAAATCTTAAAAATATTCATCAATAACTAAACTATTGGATAATAATTAAAGGAAGAAATGCTCTAATAATATGATTAAAAGGATTATGATCTTGATCTTTATTTTGAAAAAAAACTGCTGGATTTAAATACACCATTGATTCAACAAGGGGTTAATAGTGGTAGATAAATAATATTTGAATTTGTGGCTCCAATTATAATAATAGTAAATTCAAAAGCTCAACAATATTCAATTAAGGTGACATCTTAAATGACAACATTGGACTTAGAAATATAACTTAATCAATTATTTAGTACGAAGAAGAGATTTTCGTTCCTCAAAGATGGAGAAATTATCTCCCCTAATAATTATTTATTCAATTAAAAAATTATAAAGAATGCCACTATACAGGCTAATGTCATAAATGATGCAGGAAAATGAAAAAAGATTATTTTATATTGTTCACAAATTCTTTTCATTTAGTTTATCATCAAATATTAAATACATGATTAGAATTTTGTAGAAAAATAGAATTCTATTAAATAAGAAAAGGGTAGAATTAATCTAAACAAAAAGCATGTAGATANATTAAATAATTAAAATATTTTAGATACCCTATATATAAATTTCTTGAATAAGATATTTTGATTGAAGTAATTAATTGAAATATTTATATAATAAAGCTCCCAAATAAGATTAATCTTTTATTTCTATCTAAATTTGGAATAATGAATTTGATTTAATTTAGTAATTTTGTTATTTATGTATTTTTTTAATTTCAATTATGATTAAATATATTCTTGAAAAGTGTAAATGAAATGAAGAAAAGAATTTATATTAGATTGATTATTCGTTTTTCTTTATTTGTGAACAGCAAGACTGTTATGTTTTTATAAATTTAAATAGTACTCAAGTAAATTACAAAAAAATTTAAAATTTAGTTGAATCTGGATATTGATACATAAGATCAAACAGATGTTAGAAAGAGCAACTAATTCCATAATAGTATATTTTATAGAATTATTTTAAATATAAAGAATTTATAAATAAAATATGTTTCAATTATAAGGGGACAGCGAAATAATTATTTAGGGTGAAATTCCTGATCTTAAAAACTTACCAGAAAAAAAAATCTTAAAAATATTCATCAATAACTAAACTATTGGATAATAATTAAAGGAAGAAATGCTCTAATAATATGATTAAAAGGATTATGATCTTGATCTTTATTTTGAAAAAAAACTGCTGGATTTAAATACACCATTGATTCAACAAGGGGTTAATAGTGGTAGATAAATAATATTTGAATTTGTGGCTCCAATTATAATAATAGTAAATTCAAAAGCTCAACAATATTCAATTAAGGTGACATCTTAAATGACAACATTGGACTTAGAAATATAACTTAATCAATTATTTAGTACGAAGAAGAGATTTTCGTTCCTCAAAGATGGAGAAATTATCTCCCCTAATAATTATTTATTCAATTAAAAAATTATAAAGAATGCCACTATACAGGCTAATGTCATAAATGATGCAGGAAAATGAAAAAAGATTATTTTATATTGTTCACAAATTCTTTTCATTTAGTTTATCATCAAATATTAAATACATGATTAGAATTTTGTAGAAAAATAGAATTCTATTAAATAAGAAAAGGGTAGAATTAATCTAAACAAAAAGCATGTAGATACAATTGATTTAGTTTTTAATTATTTTACTCAAACTTCTTATTTATATTATTAATTTTTGAAAGAAAAATTCAATAATATAAAAAAAATTTCTTAATAAAATGAATTTGATTAAATATATGAGTGATAATTTCAGTAGTTGTTATTAAAATTTCTTAGTTCACTAAATGAAAATAAGACATTTTCTTTGTTGAGAATAGAAGTATCGATAATTTTTATAATTAGAGATAAAATTAATTAATAGAAATTATAAAATAAAGATGGCAGAACTCTAATGTACGATTATTTGTGAGGAATTAAATAAGAAGTTTAGAGTGACGTTAGATTATACAAAAACTCCATTAGATTTAATGAATGAATTTTAAGAATAAGTGATACCAAATCCTGATCCAAATTCATAAAATCCAAATTCATAAAATCCAAATTATTTAGCATTTAAGTTTAATACGAAAACGCTTGATGCTTACATTCCATTTAAGTAATAAGGAGTAAATAATAATGATACAATTGAATTGATCATTATTTAAAAAGGAGGATTAAGTTAGTGATGTATTACAATTGAATATAATTTAAAAATGTTAAAGTGTTTATCAAATAAAACTACAGATAGCCAAGAGCTCTTTAATATATAGTGTAAATAAAGGTAGGTAGAAATAAGAAGAAAGGATAGTTATAAAAGGATAATCTTAAGTTTCTAAGGATACTGAGTATAAAAAATATATTAAATTTATTTGATATAAGATAAAAATATATTATTGTTATAAGAATAAATAAAAAGAAAAGATTGTTATAGATAATATGAATTTCATTATAAGAAATGATGTACTTATATGAGTATGATAATTATAATATAAATTCTCAATATAAATAAATTAATGAATGGTCTTTACAATTAGTTTGATTTCATAAATTTCTTGGCAACAATTTATGTATTAGAAGCTAATTCATTATGTTCCATATCAGATAATTAAGTTAGATCATAAAGAGTGGGAGACTAAGATTCAAGAATTTATAATGTGTATAATCAAAGCAAAGATAGAATCACATAATAAACTAATTTAGTAGATAAGATAGTCAGATTAATAAAAAAAGATGAAAATAAAGAAGAAGGTTTTGAATCAGTTGAAGTTTAGAATAGATACTTTAATCTTGATAAAATGTCATAGATGTTATAAAAAGGGACATAAATCTAGAGATTGTAATGTTATCATTATAGATGATGATAATCTATAAGAAAAAGATAAGTAAAGACTCAAAGATCTTTTATGATTAAATTGTCAAGAAAAGAGACATTTGAATAGCTTCTTTATAGGATATCAAAAATATAATTTCCTTTATTACGAGGGAAAAGAGTATTAAGAAAAAGAAAAATTAATAAAATTGATCATTCTTCTAATTAACATCATCATTCAAATCATTATAAATAACATTATAAATAACATCATCATGATTATTAACATTCATATTCATAAAAATATTTTAAAGAATAAACTTAAAATTTACCACATAAAACATAAAAAACAATATAAAAATATCATTAATAAGATTCCTCTTCGCAATATTCAAAATGTTCAATAGAATCAGCTAATAAGAAAAATGTTCAATAGAATCAGCTAATAAGAAAAAGATTAATAATAATAAATATAATAAAAATAAGAAAAAATAGTAAAAGTAGTTTAAATAATTTAATTGATTATATTATTGTATGTTTATTAATCCTTAAGAATATGCAGCATAAAAGAAAGAAGCTTTTAGATCTGAAATTCGTAGAATGGATAGAGAACGAATTTTCAACTAAAAAAGGATTCTAATTCGATAACAGAATGAAATGAAAGAAAAAGATGATTTAGAATTAACTAACTTAATATCATAAATTTAACAATGTTAATTGAATCAGAAAATTTAAGAGTTAAGGTAGCTCCATTAATTTGCATTTAATTGTGTTTCAATCAACAATAATGTCTAACTTGTTTAAAATTAAGAATTTTTAATCACAAATAATTATTTATAGCATAGCATCCCCAGTTTGATGATAAAAGAAGTTTAATGTGAAGTAATTAGAACTTTAGCCAATTCCTGTAATCACCCTATGTTTTTATAATAATAACCATAATACCTACTTCAATCTTTAGAAATTTCATATCAATTACTTTTATCATTAACAGACCCTTAAGACTTAAGCGATGTATTGTTTTATATAATTTTATAGATTCTTATATATTTAGGAAATATAGCTACAAAATGGCCTGAAATTTGCTAATTTTTAGTCAAATGCTTCGATCGATTATTGGAGCTAAGTTCATTAACTGATAGTAATCTCTATAGAAACATATGTTTTTGTATGCATAATATATGTTATGTTATGGATAATCATAATTTAAACATTAAAGACGTAAATATTACAATAAACTTTTTATTAGAGAATGACTTGCTTTAAAATCTTAGAAAAAGGTGTTAACAAAAGTGAATGTGATATTTTACAAAATGAAATATTACATCCTTTAACAGTATTATATTAACAAAATGAAGAAATTGATAACTATTTAATGAGTTCAAAAATAGTAAAATATGTTTTTACAACTTTAAAAGGAGAATATGAAGAAACAACTTTGCAAGTATTAAAGTAATTTTCATTAACAGAAACAATAAGTTTTTCGAATGTATTTATTATAATATAAATTAAGTATTTAATTGAATAGGACATTTTAGACATTGCATTGGAATATAGTAATAATAGAAAGAAATAGATAAGAAAATTATCATTTTTGATAGTGATAAATTTAGCTTATAATGATCGTCAAATATCTAATAAAATAGTGAAACATAAAATCATAAATAGAATTATAAATGGATTGATAGCATCGGTTTTACAAGAAAAGTAAAATTGTATTTAAGTCATATAAAACCTTTAAAAAACAGGAGATAACTTAGTGTTTTAAACCCTGATAGAATTAGGAACGATTGATATAATAGGAAATTTCATTGATGAAGTAGATACAGTGGTTTTAAAGATATTTATGGATAGTCTTTGTAGATTTTTGAATTATGCAAAAGAGGTTCAAAGTAAGAAAGTAATAGAGGATATCAAAAAGATATAACCTAAAATAGAGTTAATATATAATGACAATAAAGATCCCAAATTTTAAGATCTATTTCAATTGTTTTTGCAGCTCTTATAATGAAAATAAGATTATATATAATAATATAAAAAATGTTAAAGTTTCTATCCTTTCATAAGAAAATAGAGAATAATTTATTTAATACGCCCGGATAGCTCAGCTTGGTAGAGCGAGAGACTCTTAATCTCTAGGTCCAGGGATCGAGACCCTGTTCGGGCGTAAATTTTTTATTTTTATTATTATATTATATTAAAAATATTAATATTAATATTAATTTAAAAAATAAGAATAGAAATATTTTAAATAATAAATGTAAGAATGAAAAATAAATCAGTATTTAAATAATTATGGAAATATAAAAATCAAAGAAATATCATCTATTTTATTTGACCATTCTAAACTTTCCATAATACTATAACACATTATGAATATTTTTCATTTTTGTTCTTAATAATTACATATTTAAAGTATGTCAAACTTTTTAAATTGTTTTAAAAGAAATAAAATCATTACATTTCAGTATAAATTGATCCATTAACAGTATGAATAAAAATTTATAAGTATCTGAGAGACAAGCAAATTATTTAATAATTTAATATACTCTTAAAAAATAAACATTGGATAACTCTTTATATCTTAAATAGTATATTTCTATGAAATTTATCAGCAGTAAAAGCAAATACTTTAAGATCTATTTGATTAGGAGCTAATATTTATATAATAAATGAATATATAACAAAGAATTCAAGAGTTAATAATTCTTATTTGATATATAATTTGTGATTATTATGTTTATTAAATATATTATTACAGATATTCTCTAATTAATCTTCCTTTTAAATCTTATACTTCAAATAAATTATTTTTTATTATTCTATACTTCATCCTATATTATGGTGATTTTTTTCAACGAATAAATTAACAAACTCAAATAAAATGGTTGGGAGATAATATATAATTCTTTTTTTTTGGTTTAAAATTTTTAATTATAAATTAATTAATAGAAATAAAAAATTAATTCTGAACATTAAACTTAATCAATTTTAATAATTAGCCTAATTTAATGATTAATATTATTTATTATCAACTATTGTTTACTATCCATTCTTTTAGATATTATTTTATTCAATTAGTTATTTAAATCCTTTTTCTATTTCAGATGTAACATATTGATTATTTTCAAATAATAATGTTTTTTTTTGGGTATATTCATAGAAACAACTATCTCCAATAGTTTCTGGTTTAAATACTTTTTGAATTCCTCTAACTTATTTAGAGTTATTGAATTCTCCTTTATATAGATTAATTGATTAATTATTTTAGGCTATTTCCCAACCCCATAGTAATTATCCATAATTAAATATTCCAAATTACAAAGTATTTTCATCTATTTTTCTAAACCCTAAACCATGATATTTTTCATTTACTAAAAACCCTTTATAAGTTTCCAAAAATTTCATTTCATCAAATTATTTTAAATATTCAAAATATTAAAGGTTTACTTTCAAAATAGAGCTGAATTTTTGTTTGAAATATGTAGTTACATATTTATTTAATCCTGATGGCAACATATCATATTATAAAATCAATTTTATATATGAGCTTTTAAGTGTAAATTTGAGATATGGAAAAATTTCATTGATTACTGTTATTTATTTCTTAATTTCTTCTTATTTTGCTTTTTGCTTAATTAAATTATCTAAACAACTATATAATGCTTACTAATATTCCCTTTATATTTTTGTAGATATAGAATCAAACTCTTTTTATGTCAATAAATATTCTGGTTTCTTAAATTTAATATAATCTCTAACCTTAGTTCTAGTTTTTAATTATCTGTTAAATGGAAATATTTCATAACCAAATTTTCTTTTTTATAATAACTTATCATCGAAGATCTATTAATTTTTATTTGTATATTTTTGTAGATAATAAATTGATGTTATTTTTTATTATTCCATACCCATAATTATACTAATATTTGCCTCAAGTTTCATTTCTTTTTTTCTTAATTTAATTAAGTCTTTAATCTTTTAAAATGAAAAGTATTCGTCTTATTTCTTTTTTTTTCTATCTGTTTCATCTAATGGAATTTAAAACTTTTTCATGTACTGAATCATGGTTAATTCTGATTTATTATAATAGTAAATTATGTTTTCTTCTGGTAATTCTTCCTTTTAACCTTTATTTTCTTATGATTATTCCTTTTTGTAGTAATATTCTAATGCCAAACACCTATTTTCAGCCAGAAATATATTTTGTTCAATCAAATTTTTCTTATCTTGTTATTCATTATAATTTCTCAAAATTTCATTAAGTTATTTTATATAAATTGAAAGTTCCATAATATCAAGTTATAACAATTCATGGAAATCCAAAAATTTTTAAAGTTTTAAATCCTCGTTCATTTCTTCTAAAAAATCTTTAAGTTTAGGAATTTTTTGTCCTTCTAATTTAAGCATAAAGTTTTATAATTTTAAAATAAACTCGTTATGGTAAAATACTATTTTGTTTTAATCATTATTTTTATTTATTACTTGGGTTTGAGGTATTTCAATTAATGCTGAGTTTTCTTTTACAATTTTTTATACATTATTATTTAAAGGAGGGTTGACTACTTTGTTATTTTTCTAATTATAAATATTTATAATTTGAGATAAATTAATATTTTGAGATAAATTAATATTTTGTAATGTAGGTTTTTAAATTTTATTAGAATAAAATAAATCTTTTAACTGATTACCAATTTTAGAGTCAATTTTGATAATTTCTTATATTTTTTGATCTAATTTTTGGTTATTCATTCCAAAGAAGGAATTTAAATCTCTTTGAATTTCCTCAGGAAGATATATTTAAATTATAGTTATTCCAATTGCCCAAGAATCTAAATCAGAGGTATTTAAACCATTATTAAGTATTGTTTCAATCTTTCTTGATTTGTTTTCTTAATTAATCGATATTTGGAATTTTTTCAATTCTTCAGTTCTCAGATCATAATCTATATCATTTTTGATTATATCTAATACATCTTTAGGATTATAATAGTAGTATTCACGTTGCCATTACTACTCTTCTCTACTAGTAAATTAATTTATGTAATTTTAATAAAATGTTCTATTACTTCCAAAATCAGTTAAGAAAACCTCCAAATCTAACAATAATAAATTATTAGGTTTAATATTTAAGTGTGAAATATTCGAAGAAAATAGATTTTTTAAAATCTCTAATAATTAAGAACTTAATCTATTTTTCAGTTCTAATCCCTTTTAATCATTCTAAATTGTTTTTGCATAATCTAAAATAGGTATACATTTATCATCATTGAGATATGCGATTTTAATGACAATAGAATTATTTTCATCTCTGTATGAAGTGAAATCTTAAATTTATAAAGTTGACTTTGGGTAATTTTTATGAAATAAACATTATTGTTAAATTTCTTTTTTGATTTCTTCTAGAAATTAATCTGCAAATTCTCCTTTTATGATTCTTTATTTTATCCAATATGTGTCTTTTCCTTTTTTGCAAATTGAATAAGTAGTGAAGAGTTTATTTTAGCTCATTGTACAATCTCTATACTTAGAGTTAAATTCATTTTTTCCTAGTTCTTACAACATATTTTAGATGATAAATAAAATAATTATTCTACACAACCCCATATTTATTATGCCATTTAAATATATAAAAGGATTTATATAATATAACAAAAATTAATTATTTATGCATAAAAATAAAAGCAAAGAATAAATTAATAACTCCTAAGCTAACGTTTCAAAAAATGGTTCTTAAGCTTAAATAAATTAATCAAAATCTTAATCTTCAATAAATGATTAATCCATTTTGAATTAATCTTTAAAAGAAGAACTTAACAAATCAAAAAATAATGAAAAAGGTTAATAAGAAAATTCTGAAGAAAAACTTAATTAATCTAAAAACTATACAGTATCAGCTAAATCATGGGATTTAAATCCAAATGAAATCAAGTTTTTAAATGACCTTTATGGAGAAATATAAGAGGCATAATTACTAGCTGAAGGATTATAAGAAGAAAATAAATTTGAAAATGAGTAAATTGAATTAGCATAAAAGGATATCAATACTGTGTAAAATGTTATTGAAATGTTAAAAGAGGAAAGTGACAAAGAAGATGATATAAGATTTGCAATAGATAATGCTTTGTTAAATTTAGCTACTACTAAAAGAAAGACTGAAGATGAAAATGATAAATTGAGAGATTTAGTTAGATAAAGAAATGCTTAACTTAGAATGTTAGTAATAAAAGTAAAAGATTAAGATCAATAATTAAAATAGAAAGATGAATAAATTAAAAGATTAGAATAATAAGTTTAGATTTAAGGTTAGACTTTAAGATAGTATATTAATGTTAAATAAATTTAGATTATAAAATAAAGTAGAGGATGAATATAGAATAAAAGTAGTTTAAGAATAATTAAGAAAGCCTAGAGAAAATAAATTGTTTGATGAATAAAAATTTGTAGATGTAAATGCAAAGGATGATCCATTTGATTTTTGGTAAAATAATGCTATTCGAGAGTATCCTGGAGAACCTAAAAGATTAAATGATGTTGTTTAAAAAAAAACATTATGGGTAGCTTAAAAGGAAGATGAGAAATTGAATAAATTTGAATATTCAAAAATGCCAAAGTCTAATGAATCAAATTTTTGGGGAAAATGATTAATTAATAGAATAAATTACTTAAATATAGAGTATTATTTATAGAGGTTGATAATATGAAAATAAAATGAAATTATGCAACCAACATATACAAATTGATATGAGAATAATCTCATCATAATTATTTTTTAGTTTTAGAAATCCCATAATTTCTTTCTAAATAATCTATAGTTGGAGTTGTAAGAAGAGCTTGACAAAAATAAGCTATAATTCTAGCTTACCATCCTGCATATAAACCTCTAAGACCATAATTTTGATAAACAATCTTAAAAGATTAATACAAAGAGATTTTTCTATAATTTTAGTTTCCTTCCATTTAGACTAAAGTTTTAATGGTATCAAATGGATGAACTAATATATAAGATTATTATTACCTGCTATAATGTTAAGAATACTACTCAAAGATGATGCAATTAATGAATTAACTAATGAAAGTGGTTATCCAGGTTCTGCTTTTAATGCATAACGAACTTTATGATCCCAATATAAATAGTTTGTCCATGAAACAACTTATCTTGTTGTTTAAATTCTAAATCCTACATATATAGATTCTAAAGTTATATATTTAAGATATCCAAATCCTGTAGCCATCGAAGTCATCTTTAATGTTTTCAATCTCTCAAATGGGGTTATAATGCAACTCTCAAATAATCCAATCGAAGCCCCTGTAATTATTTTATTTATTGATTAATTATGGATATGATCATTCAACATTGAAGGAATGAAAATCATCATAGGCCATCTATAATATTATTTCACCATATTTCTCAAAAAGCTTGGATAAAACCCATCATATAATCCAATCAATCCTCTTGCTCCTTTTATATCCAAATAACTCTATACTCTTTAATCATTATTATACTTATATATAAGTTATTCCTTGCTTAGATTACTTATAGGTCTTTATTCTATCAAGTACATGTTCTAAAGGCATTGTTAATGCCACTCTGAATGCTCCAATTACTTAAGTTTCAATTAAGGCTTTTATGTAATCTCCCATTAATCAAAAAAGGTTTATTCTTTAAAAAAAAAATTTAACTATGGATTAGATTAATTTAGATTTTATATAAAATTATTTTATTTAATAAGTCACTTTTTTCTACCATTTCATTTCATAATTACTCATTATAAATATATACTTTTTTTAAACTAAATGATATTCTTATAAATATTTTATAAATTATTTAAATCTTCCTACTCATTCTATTTATATTATTTTCCTTTCCCTTTAATACTCCTAATATGACTAACACTTTTTTTTTTAACTGAAAATATTATCTGAATTCTAAAATTTTTATAAGCCCATATAATGTAATCTTAAGACTTTTTTATTTGTATTAACTGCATGAAACTTTCAAAATAATTATTATAACTAATTTTAAATAAAAATCATTAATTCTTAATCATAAAATATTCATAAATTTGACTAATAATCTTCAATATTTCAATAAACCTTCTCTATTTAACATTTCTAAGTACTTTAAGATTTGACCTTTTTATATTTTGAAAAAAGTAATAATGATATGGTTGTGGATTCTATGTCATATACATTAATATGTTAATCCTTAAATCATGATGGTTTTTTTTAAGTCAAAATAAGAAGTGAATGATTTTAATTAATAATATTAAATTTAATGGTAACTTAAGCTTAAAGGAACCCTTTTCAATCCATTAATGGAGAAATTTGTTTGAAAGGAAATTACAGAAAAATTAAAAAATTTTTTAGATAGGTAGTAGGATGAAATAATTTATATTTAGAAAGTTAATTATATAAAAAAAAATTTTTTATTTCATATTTTTTAGGTTATTTATGGAAATTCATAATTTATTTAGATAATTGTATTAAAATAAATATTTTAGTTACTTTTATCTATTTTGGAGGATATGTGGATCTATATAATTAATAGAAAATTTCAATATTAAAGGAATTTTGTTGGCTGAAAATTTAGTGGAAACAAATTTATTTATAAATGATTCTAAGAATAATATATATGTATATTCTAATAAGGAAGAATATGCTA